ATTTATACTGATACTATACAAATCTTGAAATACTTTCATAAAAAACATAAGGGCCATATTAAAATAACTAAATTATTTTAAATATTTTTTTGGTCAGTAAATCTAATTAAGGTTAGGGTTATGGAAATGAAGGTGGAGCTCATGTCTAATATTTTTCTATTAACATTAAAAAAAAGGATTCGTTAAAATCGGTGCTCTCACCTGAAAAAAATAAATTGATCGGCCTACGTGACATGAATCAGTTGATCCCTATCCGAGGACTGTCAACTGAAACTTCGTCCGCGATACAACGATCTTTAAGAGTTTGTTTCTGTCTTTTGTTTTTCTTTCTTTTTAAATTTAAATTTATGATGATGTCTACAAAGGTTCATGAACAATGACGGTAATGGATCACGCTGATTTACAGCAGAGTGGAAATTTTTTTTGAAGTTAAAAGAAAGAAAACTTTTCTGGCGGGGGATAGAGCTTGGAAAGTTTCTGTTTCTTATCACTCAACAACCGATAAATAATTATTGTTCGTATTAAAGTATATCATGTTTGAAGTAGGTGAAAAAGGGTCTTTTTTGTCAGACATACCACGTTCATAGTTAACTTTAACTTTTATAACATATCTGTGTTAGTATTTATTGAGTGTATATGTGTGTGAACATCGATCGTTGTAATGATGGAAATGGGTCAGCTGCCTCTCCGTGTTCCATTTTCGACAAACGCAACCCAGCAGGCCGAAGCCAACGGGTGCACGTCCGTCTGATAAAATATAATTGAATCCCCTGGGCCCGGCTGTTTCCGCTTTGTACACGTGAATTCAATAATGACGGGCATTACTAATGTAAGTAGCCCATGTACGACGGAGCACTCACCGTACCACCTTTCATTAACCAAAGTAAATGAGATTTGTCTACTAATTCCGTACCGGCAGATTCAAAATAATATTAACGCCAATTATGTCAGAGGTTGTTACTCATAATTAAGGACGTAATAAATTTTCAATCGACTATGTTGGAAATATAATTTTGATACATGAAAGGAAAAGGCTTTTTTTAGTTTGGACTGTTTTTAAGACTTAAGGACTTTTAAGATAAAATACCCTGTCAGGGAAAAAATTCCGCCCACTTGTAATATAACTTGATTTGTATATATTTTTATAAATTAATCAAAGTTTAACATTTCTTAACGTTTAACAATTGAGCATTTGTCTAAAAAAGTAAAAAAAGTAAATTGCTAAGGAAAATGAAAATTAAAAAAGACAGACAGATAAAATTTGTTTTAATTTTGTTTTAGATTTTTAATTAACATTTCAATATCGTGTATTTTCTCCTTTTGCCTTAATTACATCTCGAAGACGCGTCGGCATACTTTCAACCAGTCTGGAAATGTCTCTTTGCTAGAGGTTAGATCATTCTTCACGAAGGGACTTCCAGGATCGTGGAGCGTATCAGGAAGTGATGAACGTGCTCTTATTCGGCTTCTGAGGTTATCCCATAAATGTTAGATGGGGTTCAAGTCTGGAGAACGGGCTGGCTAGACTAAAACCCTGATGTCATGATGTTGAAGGTACGTTTGTACAACGCGAGCGACATGTGGACGGGCTTTATCGTAAGTTAGAATAGGATTGTCGCTGATTTCATCGAGGATAGGCAACGCATGATGTTCCAACATTTCATCCACATAGCGAGTGACCGTCAAAGAGCCTCCAGAAACAACAACCAAATCTGTGCGACTCTCCATCGAAATTCCCGCCCGCACCATCACTGAGCTACGTTGAAAAGGTTGGCTCAGGGAAAAATTAAAGACTTTGTACCTTTCATATTGCCTTCTCCACACTCTTTCACGCCCAGCTGGAGATTGTACAGCAAATTTACACACATCTGTAAAAAGTTCAGCAGACCAATCGTTCAAAGACCAATGGCTGTGTTCTCGAGCAAATACGATCCGTACAACTCCAGAACGCCAATTGTGTTCTGGACAATTCTGGTCCTCTTACGGGGCAAAAAACCAACGGTCCATACTGATTTTATCTTCTTGGAGCAATGCGTTCAGAAATTTGGACACCTCGAACTTCCTGGAGTTGATGAACAACAGTAAAGCACGTTTTGCAAAATTCTCAAAGTCAAAAAACGGTCATCCACCTAGGGCGTCCAGAATCGCGCCTTCTATGGTAGGACCCAGTTTCTCGATAATGTCTAACGGCGTCTCGCAGAGTTTCGTATGGAACTCCGATGTCAATAGCCGCATACCTGATGGAACGTCCATCATCAATAAGTGACACACCACGCGCAACATCATCAGCACTAAGTGGCAATTTTAAGTTTAAAAAATTAAGAAATTAAGAAAAGAAAGATAGAATTCAAATGACACTGAAAAAATTAATAATAATTAACTGAATAATTTAAATGCCGTAAAAATTAAACATTGAAAAATCCTCTATCCTTGTTTTGGATTAAGGATTACGTGAGTACGTCTAATTGATATTCCCAATTTAAAACATAGTATAAACAACGATTTATTGATAAAAACAATGAGACAAATTAAGGGCAGAATTTTCTTTTATCAGAAAATGAAAAAAAAATCAGGTCGGTGGAATTTTTTGCCATTCAGTGTAAAATAATAGAAAAACAATCAAGTATTCCACCATTAGTACGTCTTCTACTCTATCAATAAGATGATGGATAATATTTTTGATTGATGATAAACATCGTCCTTCAATGTTTCCCCCAACCTGTGAAATGAATCCCATTAAAAAGGGCAGATTATTTCAAAACGTACCTGATGAATCAAAACCCGATCTGTCTCCAAGGGAGGTAAGAGGAATTTATTTTGTCCAGAGTGGTTTCGTTTGTCCAAAGTTTATAACAGGGACCATCAAAACAACCCCCTCAATTACACTAGAAACTCTGCTAAACGTACGTCAATAGAAAACATTTATACAAGGAGAGGCAAGGAAAAGCTCATTTAGGATCTAGAAACAATATAACTGGATAGGAACTAAACACGTAGGGCATACAACAATAATCAATAAAATCAGACATCCATTCTTAGAATTGGGTACTGTCTACATGAACCCAGAAACTCTCTTTACGACGTCCTATAAAATCTCAACAGGCCTCAAAGGAGAAGAAAAACGCTGGAGGAAATCAGAAACAATGATATGGTGTTCACATCGCTACAAAGGAAGGAACCGGTTGAGGCGTTTTTTCTCCAAGCTCTACACACGAGCAGACAAAGTCATTAATAAAATAAACCTATGTCTATCAAACTGAAATACATGTCATCATTGCTTGTGCTTTGGAATGTCTTAAAAGAGGTTACACTAGCAAAAACATCCATTCTCGTATTATCGGAAAGCCAACCGGCTATTAAAGCAAAACCGTGTAAAAAAATCACAACAAAACTAGTTATTGAACGTATCCACAATCTCTATAACTTGCGAAAACACAAAACGCGATGATAGCTTGGGTGCTAAGCCACAGAGAAATTTTGGATACGAAAAAGCAAACACACTGGCTAGAGAAAGATCTGCAAAACTATATACAGGCTCAGAACTTGTAACCCCCTACTTCCTAGTAACTATCATCATCATCACATCCTCTACTCCTCAAGGTTCTTCTCACCCATGCTTTTCAACATTTACATGAACCATCTAAGCCCACTTAAGGGGAACACGTCTGGATTATCGATTTTTTTGCTTATTTTGTCCTGAATTTATTTTTGAGCAGAGCCTTATAATTATTTTGGTTAAGTTGGAAATAGTTTTTAGGATTCAATAGGGAATAGGTGTTTTAATAAGAGTTTCTCGAGAATTTACTTATTACAAGAAGGAGGCTGATAGGTCGGTAGGTTGAAGGACAGTTTTGGATATCTATGCAAAAAAAATCATAATGGACAATTTCTAAACAGATAGAAATTGTGTTGTTTCTAAGCGGAATTCAAGATATAAGTAAGGAAAACGAGGACTTTTCTTAATAGACAGATTTGACACATCGTATGTGATTTGAAAATGCAAAAGAACACCGGATCAGATATAAAATGAAAAAACTTGACGGCAAGATTGTCCAAGAATTAGGAACCAACATGATTACATCATTTGTCAAATGTCACCTCTACTGTACCGCCTTCGTCTTTTACAAGAAAGGTTAAAAGCAATATATACGTATAAAATAAGACGCATTAATCTTCCGTTCTATTGCAAGGAAAAATGGGAAAACCGTAACATAAATCCGGGGAACGCGGAGGCAGAGAGGCACCACTAGATGTGTCGAACATGCCTCACGGTTAAGAAGCCCATACGTTTTCCGGCGTTTTCTGCTGATTGGTAATCACCACCGAAATGTTCTTCCTCTTTCCATTTAATACAAGCTTTTTACTTTCGTTCAATCCGTCCAATTATAACATTTGATAATTATAAATGATGTAGATAATTATAAAAATATTGCTGTATATACGTATCAACCTGGTCTAAAATCTTTTTTACTTATATTGTTCGATCAAACGCGCTACACTCTAGAGCTCTAATGGGGCATTATAAATATAGAGATTATATCTGCCCTATCCTCAACATTTCCCTTATGAGTTTTCTCATCATTAATCAACAGAAACCCCCCCCTCAATTATAAAGCATTTTATGAACCTATCTCACGCAATTAACTTTCGACCCTTATCAAACCGTTTTCCCCTTTGTGACACTTGACCTGAATGTCCAATTATTTTAAATGATAGCGAATTATAAAAGAAAAACTTAAGCTGTCCAAGCATAGGAATCTGTCTTTTGTACAGAAATAAAAATTATATGAATCCTCGGAGTGCCGGTGTTTTTGAATGCTGGATGCCGACCTTTACCTTACAGTCATAAGCGTGTCGGCACCTTAACCTTATATAATTTTTGTTTTTAGACGAAGACGCAATGTCCACGTCACAATTTGTCACATTATTTATTTAATTTCGTAACAAAGTGCGATAATATTGTCAAATTTAATTATCTTGATTTGTAATTTGGTCCTTACCGATCATTTTGGTTTTCAATTTCACCGTGTATTGGTCTTACGTCCTTCGCTTACTCGCCGTCTTCAGTTATGTGTTGAATCACTAAGACATCAGACCAGTGGTTACCAAAGTTTTTTGACCCATGGACCCCTTTTTACAGTCAAAACTTGCCCACGGATCACCAAAAAGCTACACAAAAGTATAGTATAAAAATTACAAATGAAAAAAAAATTGAAGAAGTAGTTATTCAAATTATAAGTTTTGTTTAAACTAAAATTTAAAAAAAATAATGACTTGATGAATGTAATGAGATGTTATGAGTGTATTTATGTCAGGCTCATTGTTTGTGAGTAGCAACCGCAAATTCCCACGAACACTAATTTCAAGTCTTCACCAATAGTGTACGATTTTCCGGGCTTTGCAATCAATAAAGAAAGTTATAAGAAGCACGCAGTCCACCATAATCTCGCTTAGATGTTGTCCCTAAGAGTTGTTGCAATAACTGTTTACAAATATTTTTCTTGGACTCTTTCAAGAAATGTAATGATGAACTAGATTATCGACCTGCTGGATACAAGAAGTCTTTTCAGAGGATCTTCGGAAGAGGTCAAAACAGAGAAAACTTCCTTACGGTTTTCGCCGAGCTTTCGACAGTTTTATACTGTCATCTTCAGGGCCTGTTTTATTATCATATAAACAAACAATTAAAACATGAAAAAACAATAATTACAACAATAATTGGATATCTTACTTTAAAACCTTAATAGGAAATTAAACAACATGGTGTTTTGGGCACAGAAGTACATTATGTTTTTTTCGGCTCAGCATCTAAATATTGATTTAAATGGAATACATTAACAATTAAAAATTATAGCTAAAATTACAGTAAAAATAAAGTTAAAAAACGTGGTCGAGAAAGGTTACCTCATATAAGTCTAAAAAANTTGTAATTATTGTTTTTTCATGTTTTAATTGTTTGTTTATATGATAATAAAACAGGCCCTGAAGATGACAGTATAAAACTGTCGAAAGCTCGGCGAAAACCGTAAGGAAGTTTTCTCTGTTTTGACCTCTTCCGAAGATCCTCTGAAAAGACTTCTTTCAAGAAATGTTAAATCCTTATCTTTAGGATTTAACATAAAAATCCCCGTGGATTTTTATTAATTGATCCTTAAGCTTGGAAGGATTCATAGAATCATTTGACATAGTTTTATTACATAGAAGACACAGGTAAAGAAATATTTCCTGATAATGAAATAAAGCCATATTTCAAATATTCAATTCAGTATTGTCAGCATTTTTTCTTCGTCTCACTTATACTGTTATCTGTTAAAAAGGGCACAAATGATATAAGAACATGTGTAAATCAAACACTTTGAGTGAGTACAAATACTTCGAATGAATCTAAAATTTATAGCATTGCATAAATTCATGTTTTACACATCCTACATGTATTTGTAAAATTTAAACAATGTTTATAAATCCCAGGCCCTGAAGATGATCTCAATAAAGATCGAAACGTTGGCACTATAAAGAAAATGTTTTTCTAAAACCTACGTCACACCAGACGGCATCTCACGATCTACAAAGAATCATTTTTCTTATTCGTTAGCAATACGGGTAGAGTTACAAGTTACGGCAGGTACTTAGTCGTACTAGTTACTGCTTATCTTATCAGTTCTCTTACTCGTTACCGAGTAATACTGCTAATTTCCAACTACTTAACTACTTAACTACAATACTGCTAATTTCCATAATAATAAAAATGGATCACAATTTTATTATTCTTTATTAAACCTTGCGCGGACCCCCTTGACGTTGTTCAGGGTCCCCCAAATCAATTTTGATTTTTCACGGACCCCCTGAATGATACCGGGGACGCCTGGGGACCACTTTGGTGGTCATTGCTATTTGAAAACGAAAAGTGAAATAATCCAGTAGAATTAGGTTTTCGATATTTCATCTGTATTTAACAGTACCCTAATCGTTAAAAAGGTATTCATTCTGAGGGATTAATCGCCAGCCATTAATGAAATCTTCCTGTTGTCATTTCTAGGATTGCTTACGTAAAATCCTGAGCACTGGAAACGGACACGATATTGATTTATTTAGTCAGTGATTACGACGATAAAATCAATATAATCTGAAAATTCCATACCTTTTAAACTCAATTTGTTCACCTAGAAGTGCTTGAAGCATCAAAGGTGAATTAATTAATTAATTTACAATTTACATAGTGTCGTTTATTTAACCATCTTTCTGATCAAAAAACAAACCACTTTTCTTCTTTCCGGGTCCCGTCATCATTATCCTCAGTACTCTCTTGGAAAATGAGGATTTGAAATCAAGTATTATCTTACTGAGACACTGTTAGGTCTTCCACTTTGCCAAACATAAATGGACGCCCTACATAAACATACTCGTAATATATTATCTATCGGATCTCAGCGACCCTGAATTTGGTCCCAACCCCCTTCAAAAATGAGTTTCTTCGATGGAAGAACACCGGTACAACGGGGGCTCANTCAAAAATCGAAACAGATGGCCAAATACTCGCACCATCTCACAGGTGACATTCATGCTGATAAATACATTCAATATCAATGAACACAAAGAAACAGATCACGTGATATCTATAAAGTATTATATACAACAAAACTACCATGATTCCTTCAAAAAATCGGAACAGGAGACCCAATTACTTGCTTTCTCATTTTGGTTGGCATTCCTACACACTCTATATATGTATCCAGGAAATCATTTCAATCAAATGGGATCCACTGAGCAACCTTTCTCAACATGCCGTATATGTGGGCTTCGGCCCAAAAGGGAGTGTATGTTTGGTAACCTCCTAGCATGGCCTGTTTTTCACCGGGTGACGATGATCCATATTCAACTGTCATGAATTCATGATATATAAGACCAACAATGAATTGTGATTAGTTATTGTGAAAAAGAAAAATAGTTTAATTCTGCTTTCATTTTTCTCGGAAACACCACCCTTTTGGATTGTTGAATATTTCGGATAATGAGGTAATTTAACTAAGATATTTTCTGTCTGGATTCCAAGTAAATAACAAGATTTGCATTAATTTGACTTTTATTCATTGCCCTATTAGATTCTGACATAAAGTTAAATCACCTTAAATAATGTCAATGGCCAAAACGCCAACTCGCGTGACAATAGCGGTGATTTAAAAATCCCATTCTTGACCTTCCCTCTCATTGTTGTTGACCTCGACCAATATAAGTATTTTAATTTTAGTTTATCCGTTCATAGGGCTTGGAGAAAAGGTCGGCAATGTGGTGCTTTCCAGGAACGACAAAAAAGATAAAATAAAGAGATATAAACATTCAAAAACTGTGAGTGAAAATTTCACGATTGTAGGAAAGGTTTAAATTTAAACAGGGTTAAAAATACTCTTAGAAAATATCTTTCGACAAATTAACGCACAAAAAGGTCAAGTTGGGATTTCTTTACAAGTAGGGAGGAGTTAGGGGTGAATCCGGGAAGCGAGCCGCAGGACTTTTAAGCCCGGGGAAACTTGACGATACCTAAGTGTATTGAACGGTCTTCCTTCTTGTTCTCTCTGCCCACCCGGGCCACAACGGCTCCTAATTTAAGCCAGGCACTAAGTCCCAGTACTTGTCAATTAGAAGGAAAAACCAGTATTATTTTGCAAAAGGCACAATAGTTAATATTAAATGTTTGTTTTTAAAGAAAAACAATTTTGTTTTATATTTTGTTAATTTTTTTCAACATAATTTTATTTTCAAAAGGAAAAGGAAGAGAATTTGATTAACTTAAACTTCATGACTCCAATAGGGGTGAAGCGATACACGACCGGGTTGGCTTAATTAGAAAAAACCTCGACTTCATAATGGTGGAAAAGAAGGAAAAACATTTGCCTATGTTGTCACAAAAAATAAATAAAGACAAATTCATAAAAAAATATAAGTTCACAAAATAAATTATTTTCAAGTCAAAAATAAAATTCTGTATTTTACTAAGTACTTTTTCTAGGAAAAATGTTTTTTTATAGTTATTGTTACTTTAAATCACACACTAGCTCGACTTTCAGATAATGGACAATATACGGATTATCAAAAAACAAATTCTATGATATAATATAACCAAATTCACTTCGCACACTCAAAGGAGAGAAATAAAGGGGGAGAACAGCGTTATATCTTAAGTTTTGAATTAGCATGTTAAACAATGTCGAGACGAGGGATTAGGGCTTAGGTAGACATCAGAGGCCTACATCTGTGCCCACCGACTTTACGAGATTCTCCTTGGCAACCTTTCTAAAGAGTTATTTCTCAACGTCTTAACCCACTTACCGAAAAGCACTAAAGTTAATCAGAATCATATATAAGATATATATTAAAAACGTAAGACGCCTTTTGTCCCGTGAGGTCTAGAAAAAACGGTTTTAAGGTTGTTGACATGGTTTTTTTTTTAAATTTGTTTAATCACACTCATCAAGCATAATAATAGAACATTCAGTAACGAAGGTGGTTTGCCATGAATAGTAAATGCCATTTCTTTCGGCCTATATAAGTTGTTGGATCTTTTGATATAACGTCCTTGTTTGTTTCCTTTTAGCAACACCATGCCGGTTGGGTTGGTAGTACGCCAACTGATTACGTACAACGTATATGACGTCACCGTTCTCTTTGAACAAAAACAGGAGGGTCAATCCTTCGATAAACATTACTATAGTAAGAAATCGAACAGTGACGTCACTTAGTAAAAAAGTAATCGTATGGCAAAAGAGGGGATGGTCAAAAGCCTCGTCAAACCCTACGGTGGTGGAAAGTAAATCAGTGACGTCACGTGGCAAAAAGGGGGTCGCAACTCTCATTAAACCCCATGGTTGTGAAAGCAAAAGAACAGTGACGTCACTTGATAAAACAAAATACAGAGGAAAGGCAACAACGCTAATCAAAACCCACGGAAGAAAAAACATAACGTCATATCAAATGACACATCAGACCCTACAACACAGAAAGTTTATTTCGTTGAACAAGATTCGGCAAACGCGAAGCCAGTGTTCCAGGCTGTGGAGGTATTGGAGAAAGCTATAGACTATGACAGGATCAAGGCTAACATATATAATATAGTTTACCTAGGAGAAGGTAAGCCATGTAGTGGATTAGAGGAGTAGCGCCAGTATATTGCCTTG